ACGGAAAAAGACAAAAAAAAAAAAAAAAAAGAAATTAATGACTGATGTTAATAGGTTTTTTTTTTTTTTCCTTTTGTCTTTTTTCGTGACCGGTAACGGGATCGCAACCCTCGGTGTTGCGCCTGTACCACAACCGGCAACGGGATCGCAACCCTCGGTGTCGCGCCCGCACCATGCTCAACCAGTGAGCGGACCGGTCTCCATATGGGATCCGAACCCTCAGCAGGAGCGCCACTGCGCTCCCAAGCGCTGCACTCCACCGAGTGCGCCACCGGGCCGGTCCGTTAATAGGTTTTTATGATAGCAGTATATTATAAAATTATAGAGCCCAATGATAAATTTACTCATTTTTGATAAGACCCATTCTATATTAGTTTATTACACGTATAGTTACAACTGCTTTAATAATATTATATTTTTTATTATTTTAAAATTTAACTGTTTGATAGTCACTAATGAGAGAGAACTTATTGGGCCATTCTGAGCCACTGGTCTATATCACTTGCATATATTTACACTGTGTCTGCATTTTAGAAGAGTTTGACTTAGGTGGGTTTGACATAGTCAGAATAAAAAATATTGAAGTCTCATTTTATTCCAGAATATGAATATGAATTCAAAGACTTAAAAATTTTGCCAAAAATCACATACTTTCAAAGCTAATTGGTTCAGTGAACTGCAAACTGTGTTTATACTATTGCCACTTTGTGGTACCACGTTACCTGGTAAACAAAAATACTGGCTATTCAGCAATGTTTAGAAGCATCAAATTTCTACCAGTGATCTTGGTGATTCCTGTTATTTTATCATAATCTAATACTATAAATGTAAAATCTTCTTGATAACCCCTAATAGTATTACTCGATGTCAGTAAGGAATGATGTTAATGCTTAAGTTAAAAATGTTGCCCTGAAGCAATAACTTTAGGAGTTAAATATGACAAAACTCTGTGAAGAATGCAAAAAAACTGCTATGGGGGCCGGCCCGGTGGCGCACTGCTACAGTGCGCTGCTTGGGAGCGCGGCGGCACTCCCACCGAGGGTTCGGATCCCACATACAGACCGGTTCCCGCTCACTGGCTGAGCGAGGGGCGGGCGTAGCACCGAGGGTTGCAATCCCGTTGCCAGTCCTGGTCCGGTACGGGCGCGACACCGAGGGCTGCGGTCCGTAGCCGGACACGAAAAAAAAAAAAAACTGCTATGGGGGCCGGCCCGGTGGCGCACTGCTACAGTGCGCTGCTTGGGAGCGCGGCGGCACTCCCACCGAGGGTTCGGATCCCACATACAGACCGGTTCCCGCTCACTGGCTGAGCGAGGTGTGGGAGCAACACCGAGGGTTGCGATCCCGTTGCCAGTCCTGGTCCGGTACGGGCGTGACACCGAGGGCTGCGGTCCGTAGCCGGACACGAAAAAAAAAAAAAACTGCTATGAAGGAGCGGTCAGCAAAATTTTAGAGATAACTGCTGAGAAAATAAAGAGTAGTATTAAAGCAAGAATATACTACAATGATTATATTTATATAAGCTCTAAGAACACTCTCCTGAAATATACCCCCAAAACCACAAAAACACTAATTCAAAACAATTGAATTATGCATGTTTTGAATTTCTGAATTGTGGGAAATCTTCAAGAATGCATCTGTGACTACTTTGTACTTACTACCAAACTTTTGGAAGCACTGGTGCTCTAAGCTATTACTTGGGTAAGGAATGGCCAATGACTTGACCCGAGGTGAGCATTTGAATCAAGGGAAGCCAACACATAGGCCATGTGAAGCCCAGAAAGCTTTGCCCAGTAGGAACAATGATAATTTGAATTTGAAAAGGAAAATATGGAGGGAATCAGTTGGAAGTAGAAGAAACTAAAAGATACAAAAAGCAAAGTAGCACAGGTTAGTCAGTCATAGTAATGATGGAATCCCAGAAAAAGGATCCACAACTGCCATGGGTGGGGGCACTCAGAATATCAACTAGTCTCCAAAAATGCTTTGTATTCCACAAAATTGTCTTGGATTCGAGGAGGCAAGCTTCACCTGGATTTCTGTGATATTTCTATTTCTTCAGTGCCACTTTCCACCCATTAATGAACCTTGTCCTTGAGGTAGTTTAAGAAAGCCACTGCCTAATACTCACACTTGTGAGATTTTCCTGGAGAGGTAGTGAGTTTCCCTATTCTTGCTCTCATCCATAGAAGGGGCTAGAAATGTTAAGAAAATTTTTATATAAAAAAGTAGCTTTACATACCTGCATTTTTTTCTCTTGCTCATTTTCTGCGATCATTCCAGTACCTGTTACACTTTCACTTCCATCAATGGACACCTATAGGAATTAAATAAAAAGTTCTGCATTTTGATAATGGTTTAGGCTAGGTGATAAGTACATGGGGATTCATTATCATTCATTTTTGTGTATATTGGAAAATTTCTATAATAAAAAGGAGAAAAAAAAACCTTTCAAATTACATGAGAGATATATGTTTGATTCAGGAAAAAAAACCAACCCTTCTGATGTAAAACTTAAATTGAGACTTTCCTTCACTCTTTCTAATCTCTATTTCATAATTCATAAGCAGTTCCATTTATACTCTATTTCTCTTACAGCACTCATCTTTTTACTAATTACCTGCCACCTATTTCTTTTCTATAAGCCCTGATTTTTCTTCCATTATTTCTTTCTACACTTCACTTGTTTTCAGATAAATGCTGATCTCTTTGATGCTGACTGATTTTGGCACTGAATTGCTACTTTCTCGATAAAGTGTATGTGTGTGTTTTTTTTTTCTTTTCATGAAAAATAAAGAAGGTATATCTAGGGCGTTCTTGACATTATAAAATGCCATACCTTTGCTGCATACTGTTCCAAAGCACTGATGGTGTCAGGGTCAATTGTGGCATCCCCAGTGTGCAGACCTGCCACTGTCCCATCAGCCTGAATTGCCAAGATGGTGTCAGACTGAGGGACTTGTACTGCATGGTGGATATAAGCTGTGGTGCCATCTTCCAGCTGAACCGCCTGTAATGCACTCTGGTCATAACTATCTGAGGGAGTGGAAGAGAATGGCATTAAATTAAAGGTGAAGTTTGATAAACAGTTACATATTTAAATGAAGAGAAGAACGAACTTTTATTGAGTAGTTACTATGAGCACTGGACCATGTGCTTTAAATGTATTATTTCATTTAATCCTCACAACAATTCTATAAGGTGGCTATATTTATCACTCCCCTTGTACAAATGTACTGAAGCCTGTACATTGTACAAATGTACTGAAGCCTGGAGAAGTAAAGTTACTTTCCTTAAGAACCAGGAAATTAAAAAAAAACAAAAACAAAAACAAAACCTAGTAATTAAGTCAAAATGTAAAGAAATCAGAATTTGAACTCATGTCAGTATGACTACAAAGTCCATGGTATTTTTTTCGTATAAATACCCATACAAAGATATATATAGCACTGTGAAATAAAAAATCTGGCTACATACAATGAGCCTGTGAATTAACTCCCATTGGTAAAGAAACAGGTTCAGAGTTTACTTTTCCTCAACTTCAGTTAAACAAATTTACTTACAAATTTAAGTATTCTAACTTTTAAAAAAACCTTCCCTTTGTTTCCCTTTTTTTTTTTTTTTTGCCATTTTAATAGTTGTGTAGTGGTATTTTTTTTTTTATTGAATCATAATTGATTATACATATTTTTGGGATTTAACGCTTACATATGTTGATCAAATCAATATTACTAGTATGAATATTGTTACAAATTGTACTTATTCTTTATGCCCCTTGTCCAATCTCTCCCCATCTCCTCCCCCGCCCCACTGATAACCCTAGATTTCTTCTCTTCCTCTGAAAGAGTAATGGTTTCTCTGCTGATTTGTTGCCTAGATGATCTGTCAAATGCTGAGAGGTGTGTTCGGGTCCCCCAATATTATCGTAGAGCAGATGCTTCTGTCACTCTGAAATGGGCTTTGTGGAGAGAGACATCCTATTCTTTTCTTTGGTCTCTGCTGGTGACTCTCCTTATGTCAATGCACTCAGTGGCTGCTGGGCCATCTGCATGGTGGTTGTGACGTCTAGCTACTTTCACAGCAGTTGTGGTTACTGTGGTGGCTGCGGTGGGCCACCCACATGCAGGTGATGTTTTTGACATGCTCTTTGGTGCTGGTGGTGTGCCTGGTTGTGGTCAGGGGTCTTGTCCCCCGCACCATGCTACATAAAGTCTTTCTAAAACATTATTTCATTCTATAATAAAATATTTTATAAAGCACTAACAATAGCTAACATTTATTGAGAATTTATTACATGACAAGCACAGTTCTAAGTGCTTTACACATTTGCACATTCTGTCCTCACAACAACTCTATGAAGTGGATACTTATTACAATCTTCATTTTACAGATGATGAGACTAAAGTACAGGGAAGTTAAGTAATTTGCTTAATGTCACACTGCTAAAAAACAGTAATTATATTTTATTTATTTATTTTTTTTCTTTTTCTTTTTTGTCCTTTTTCAGACTGGCCGCACCGCGCTCAGCCAGTGAGCGCACCGGTCATCCCTATATAGGATCCGAACTCGCGGCGGGAGCACTGCTGCGCTCCCAGCGCCGTACTCTCCCGAGTGCGCCACGGGCTCGGCCTAAAAAACAGTAATTTTAAATCGAGATTTGAGCCTAGGTAGTCTGGCTACAGAGCTGTGCTCATCACTTCTACACATTCCACCCCAAATCCCTGGTACTCCCTATATGATGCTAATAAACATTAACATTTTGTCATATATGCTTCAGATATTTTTAATTTTTTTATTACATTTTCCTTTTTTTTTTTTTTTTGTCTTTTTTCGTGTCCGGCAACGGATCACAACCCTCGGTGCTGCGCCCGCACCTCGCTCAGCCAGTCAGCAGGAACCGGTCTGTATGTGGGATCCGAACCCTCGGCGGGAGCGCCGCCGCACTCCCAAGCGGCGCACTGTAGCAGTGCGCCACCGGGCCGGGCCCTAATTTTTTTATTACATTTAATTAAAGACAAAAACAATAAGCAAAAGACCTTGCTAAAGAAATTATATTTGAGAGGAAGAAATAAAATCAACAAGTTAACTTTCAAATGTTTAATTTCATATTTTAAAAGCAGCCGGGGGCCGGCCCGTGGCTCACTTGGGAGAGTGTGGTGCTGATAACACCAAGGCCACGGGTTCGGATCCTATATAGGGATGACCGGTTCGCTCACTGGCTGAGCATGGTGCTGACAACACCAAGCCAAGGGTTGAGATCCCCTTACCGGGTTCGGATCCTATATAGGGATGACCGGTTCGCTCACTGGCTGAGCATGGTGCTGACAACACCAAGCCAAGGGTTAAGATCCCCTTACCGGTCATCTTTTTTTTTTAAAAAAAAAAAGCAGCCGGTATTTGAAGTCTTCCAGGAACCAGGGGTTTGCTGTTTCAACCTGTTACTGGACAGCTCAAATTGCTAAAAAGTTTTTCCTTAAACTGTGCCCAAATCTGCTATCTTGTACCTCAAAGTACAAACACAATTCTCCTTTCACATGACAACAATTCATCAGCTAAAGGCAGGTTGTATTTTTCACATACTACCACTTTTCCCTTATTTTATTCATACACGTATTTTCAAAGCTATTTTACCTTTGGAAGTATGATGAATAAATGCCGTAGTTCCATCTTCCAACTGCACTGCTTGACCATCCTCTAGACGCAAACTGTCCCCTGCTCAAAAACAATGTTTACATTTAGATCCCATGTTTTCCAGCACATTCCGATTAACTCACTTAGCAACAAGAGTTAATAAATCATTATACAACAACCTATATTTGCTTTATTAGTCTTTGAACATTTAAATAATTTCAGTAAAGCTGCTCTGAGTATGTGTTTAAAGCCACAAAAATATTAGAATACTTGTTTTAGAAATATATACAAGGGGATGAGGAGAACTGAAAGAACGGGAAAAAAAGAAGAAAATGAGAGACATAGGATTCAGCTCAAATAACAGAAACACTCGCTTAGGACTGCTGCCCATTTATCCCCAGAGTGTAGTCCAATAACTTCATAAATAAATAAATAAATAAATAAATAAATATTAAATGAATGAATGAATGAGTGAATGAATGAATAAATAAATAACTTAAGTATAAAAGCAAGAAAAGTCTTAATAGGTCAGAGACACTCCCTGCTCTCCTCTCCCCCACTAATCTGGATACCCCGGAGTATCATCCAAATATCTCAAAGGGTGTCCCAAAATTATCAAAACAAAATTTAAGTTAATCAACATTATTTAAAATGATCATATGCAATCAGCATATTTAGGAGAGACTGGAAAGGCAGCATAGTTGCTAGACACTCCGACTCTGATGTTATAAATTGCTGGTATTGACCAATTAGCCATATGTGAGGCACATACCTTTAGAACTGTGTTGTATATAAGCGGTTGAGCCATCTGCAAGAGTTACTGCTTGCAAGCTTACACCTTCCATATTTTCTAAATTGTCACCATCTATTATAAAAAATAATTATTTCCTTTAGACAACTATCACATATGCATGCTGATTAAATTAATTTTTTGAAAATTAATTAGGAAAAAGGCAGCTTGCTTAACAGACTCAAATGGTATTTCTTTTAGCATTTACAAAAAATATTTCCCTGCCTACTCTACCCAGAATCCACATCAAGGTAAAAAGGCTCATAGAAAGGCTTAGGTTTGTGTCACCTTAAGCTAAATGAGGAACAGGGAAGTTACCACGATATTGTAAATTTTCATTTTTCCTTATGATAAGTGATATTTACAAATACACACGATCCCTACAAACATGACTGCTCACCTGCTACAGTTACGGCTTCTGTCAGGCATAGGGTAACATGCTGAGCCTCCATTCCTCCTCCAGGAAACTCTGTTATTCCCTGAGAATCTCGATTTATTTGGGCTAACAACATTTTCTACCTTGAAGAAAAATATAAGCACTTGAAAACAAAGAATGATGCATATAAAATAAGAGCTACAAAGACTATTTATGAACCACAAAAAATTGCTAAGGATGTAAATGATGTTTGAAATAAGATGAAATTTCATTTTATATGCAGGGTAAGAGTATTAGCCCAAAGTCCAAGTCATGCTTTTCATAATTTAACAGTAACTACTGAGCTCACTGACAAGTCTTGCCCATCAGTTTTGTAGCATGTCTAAAATTCTCACGATTAGAGTCGTTTGGGTTAAACATGGCTGAAGATTCCCACTTAGAATCTGTCAGCAAATGCTACTGACTCAATCTTCAGAAATCTATCCTGGATCTGGCTACTTCTTACAACCTTCACTATTACTGCCCTGAGCCAAGCCACCACCATCTCTCATCCACATTACTGCAACAGCATCCTAAGTTGTCTCCCTGCTTCTCCATTAGCCTTCCCACACTCTCCTCTCAACACAGTGGTCAGTCCCCTTTGAAGGGAAAAGTTAGGTCACTTCCCTCTTCTACTCAAAACCCTCCCATGACTTCTCATCAGAGTAAAAGCCAAAAGTCCATAACGCTGGCCTACAAGGCCAATGATCTTGCCTCTCATTTCCTATTACTCTCCATCCCATTCACATCACTTCAGCCACACCGCCGTTCTTGTTTTTCCTCAAACATACTGGGTGTTCTACTGCCTCAATACTTTTACATTAGATGTTATGATCTTGCCTCTCATTTCCTATTACTCTCCATCCCATTCACATCACTTCAGCCACACCGCCATTCTTGTTTTTCCTCAAACATACTGGGTGTTCTACTGCCTCAATACTTTTACATTAGATGTTTCTTCTACCCGGAACATTTCCCCCAGTATCTTCGTTGTTCATTCCCTCACCTCTTCAAGCCTTTGCTCAAATGTCACCTCAATGAGAGCTTCCCTGTCTACCCCATTTCAAACCAAACCTCCCAAGTGCCCAACCGGTATACCCTATCCTTCTTCCCTCTTTTATATTTCTGCATAGTATTTATCATTTGACATATTACATGTATTTACTTATTTTGCTTATTATCTATTTCCCCCTCCACTAGAATAGACAGAGATTTTTATCTGTGTGCTCACTGATGACTCCAGTGCCTAAAAAGTGCTTGGCACATAGTAAGCACACAATAGGTATTGAATGAAGGCATGAATTAATAACTCTTTTACCAGTCACCACCACGACCGCCCTGCTTCCCTCTACCTCCAGGTCCCCTTACCTCTGTGGGCCCTGGGTTATCTCAGACAGTAGCTGGGATAATTTAGCTGCCTTGACCCAGGCAACTGGACCAGACCAGAAGATCTCTTGAGGACCTTTCCAGATCTAAAAATCTGATTTTTGCATCAATATTTGAAGGAGCAATATGCAGATAGTAGTAACAATTTGCAATTACATTTACGTTTAGGACTGGCTGAAGATTTTTGGTTTAGAAACATTATGAACTGTACTCCCTTTGGACCAAAGGTGGCAACTATGGTTCAGATTCACGGAAAAGTATCAGTGCTATGGTAAAAATTAGTCAAGAGGTGATTTTTCAGGTATTTCTCGTAGATCCATAGTCTATAACTGCTCATAGAACAGACTGAAAGTTCAACACTTCCTTGCCACCTCCAGGGGCTAATAGAGGAAGTCTCAAAGTAACACTAGAACGCTGCTCTTAAGATCCCTGATGAGTATAAGGTTGGCACAGCCTAATTTTCAGAGCAAGTATTGTCACTATTATTACAGAAATAAGATAAGGAAATAGAAGGGAAAACACCTATAAAGATGTAGTAAGCAGTACACAATTTTTGCAGTATTCATCTAAGAGATGAATTTGCAAAAGGCAGATTACAAGGTAATTGGTCATGATGTTAAGAAATGTCTATGATATGATCGTAACTTAGGCAATTATCCTTTCCATTTAATTATTTATAAATTTCCAAATAACCACAACATATAGCATCAACAGGTAACTGATATATCTGCAACAAATAAAAGTTCTCTCTTTTCCAAAAGCTAGTAACTGTTAAATTTCTTTAGGAAGGTTTCAACAATTATGGTTTCGATCCTAATGGAAAAAATATCCATGCTAAATGAAAGATACAGAGACAACTCTTTCCTGAACGCAAACTGATGGCAAATACACGGTGCAGTGAAGGGAGAAAGGACTCACAGGAGCTCAAATGGGCACTACAATTACCAGAGATAATAAGTGATAGCAGGTACATAACACATCTTATTTTTAAGGTTCTCAAAAGACTCTGTAGTACAATTTATGCCCTTTGTTAGAAAATGATGACGGAGGAAAACAATAGTGAAGAAAAAGACCAAACAAGACAGACCGAACACTCTGCAGTTGCTCATACCATATCCATTATCATGTCATGATCATTTCTGTCACCAATATTCTCAGGTTCTGTGGAAATAAGCATGTAAGATGTACACAACATCTTTGGAAAGAGTCATCGTGTGTTATTTGTTTTTTTATTGTTGAGTTGTAGGAGTTCTTTTATTTTCTAAATATACAAGGGTACTTCAAAATGTGCATGGAAAAATACAATTAAAAAATAACATGAATCTGGGCTGGCCCGGTGGCGCACTGCTACAGTGCGCCGCTTGGGAGCACAGCGGCGCTCCCGCCGAGGGTTCGGATCCCACATACAGACCGGCCGCTCACTGGCTGAGCAAGGTGTGGGCGCAACACCGAGGGTTGCAATCCCGTTGCCGGTCCTGGTCCGGTACGGGCGCGACACTGAGGGTTGCGATCCGTTGCCAGTCACGAAAAAAGACAAAAAGGGAAAAATAAAATAAAATAAAATAAAAATAACATGAATCTTTCTATGAACCTTTTGAAGACCCATTGTATTTCCCAACAAATAACAAAGTATTACGACAACATAAATTTAACAATCCAGGTATAAAAGCAAGAAATCCAATACAAATAATCTTTATTGTGATAAGCGATGATACCCCCCAAAATTTAGATTAACAAATCTTAGATATCTTTTGCATGGAGCCACACAAACTAGGCCTTCAGAAGTCGGCAAGCTGAGATCCTAATCTCAGGCCAGTTTCACCTGAACTTTTAACAGAGATGCTAGACCCTCAAGAAATCATGAGCAAAAACAATGAAGCTGGAGGTATCACACTACCTGACTTCAAAATATACTACAATGCTATAGTAACCAAGAGAGCCTGGTATTGACACAAAAACAGACACATAGACCAATGGAAAAGAATAGAGAACACAGAAATAAGTCCACACACACACAATCAACTGATTTTTTTTTTCCTTTTTATCTTTTTTACTGACCGGTAACGGGATCGCAACCCTCGGTGTTGCGCCCGCACCGCGCTCAACCAGTGAGCAGGAACCGGTCTCCACATGGGATCCGAACCCTCGGCGGGAGCGCCACCACACTCCCAGACGGCGCACTTTCCAGTGCGCCACCGGGCCGGCCCACAATCAACTGATTTTTGACAAAAGAGCCAAGAACACACATTGGGGAAAAGACAGTCTCTTCAATAAATGGTGCTGGACAAAGAATGATTACATTTTGTAATGATGAGTATGCTAATTATCTTGATTTGATCACATATTGTACACAGGTATTGATATTCAGCTCTGTACCCTGCAAATATGTACAATCAATTATTTTCCAAAATAAAAAATAAATAAATAAAAGCAGAATTTATAAAAGGAAAGAAAAAAAATAATGGTGCTGGGAAAACTGGATATCCACATGCAAAAAAAGAAATTATATGCCTATCTCTCACTATATACAAAAATCAACTCAAAATGGATTAAAGATTTAAATGTAAGACCTGAAATTATAAACGTACTAGAAGAAAACATAGGGGAAACGCTTCATAACAGCGGCCTGGGCAAGGATTTTTTGGATAAGAACTCAAAAGTACAGGAAACAAAAGCAAAAATAGACAAATGGGATCACATCAAACTAAAAAGCTTCCACACACAAAGGAAATAATCAACAGAGTAAAGAGACAACCTACAGAATGGGAGAAAGTATTTGTAAACTATGCATCTGACAAGGGGTTAATATCCAGAATACAAGAGGAACTCACACAACTCAACAGCAAAAAACAAATAACCTAATTTAAAAATGGATAAAGGACTTGAGTAGACATTTCAATGGCCAACAGGTACATGAAAAAATGCTTACCATTATTAATCATTAGGGAAATGCAAATCAAAACTACAACGAGATATCACTTCACCCCAATCAAAACAGGTATTACTGAAAAGACAAATAACAAATGCTGGTGTGGATGTGGAGAAAAGGGAACTCTTACACACTGCTGATGGGAATGTAAATTGGTACAGCCATTATGGAAAACAGTATGGATGTTCCTCAAAAAATTAAAAATAGAACTACCATATAATCCAGCAATTCTACTGCTAGGTATATATTCAAGAGAAAGAAAACCAGTATGTCAAAGAGATTTCTGCACTCCCATGTTTACTGCAGCACTATTTGCAATAGCCAAAATATGGAATCAACCCAAGTGTCCATCAATGAATGAATATATAAAGAAAATGTGGTATATATACACAATGGAATACTATTAAGCCATAAAAAGAATGAAACCCGGTCATCTGTGGCAATGTATATGAGCCTGGAGGACATTACATTAAGTGAAATAAGCCAGGCACAGAATGATAAATACTGCATGATCCCATTCATTTGTGGAATCTAGAAGAGCTGATCTCATAGAAATACAGAGTAGAAGAGTGGTTATAGAGGCTGGGAGAGTAGAGGGGAGAGGATGATAGGGAGAGATTGGTCAGCAGGTACAAAATTACAATTGGTAGGAGTTCCAGTGTTCTATCGCCCAGTGGGGTGACTACAGTTAACAATATCATAGTATATATTTCAAAATATCTAGAAGAGAGGGTTTTGAATGTTCTTACCACAAAGAAGTGATAAATGTTTGAGATGACAGATATACTAAATACCATGATTTTATAATTACATAATGCACACATTTTCCAAAATATCACATTGTACCTCATAAATATGTATAATTATTATTATTTGTTTCAACTTATCAATATACCATGTAGTTGATTTTCATGTCACTTTATTATGTGTCAATAAAAAACAAACAAATAAAAACAAAAGAGAAGCTTGGTCTTTCTGTTATCTGCTCTGAATGCTAAATTTTCCTTATAAATTTCCTACTATAAAAAGTTCCTCTCCATGTTAGCCTAGTCATTC